TTATTGATGTTCGGCAGCACCTGAAGAACAGCAGTGAACTGAGAGGCTGTTCATAAACATGTGGAGGAAGAAGCCATGTCAGAGACTGTTAGATCCACCTCCATGCTTTTCCTGGCCCAGTAGACAAACTGCCACATGCCCATTAAAAAGCACCTATTTCCAGGAGGAAGGGGTTTATTTAGGAATAGAATGGGACAACTAACACAAGAGGGAGCTGGGCCTCTCTGGGGAAAAAAATCTTTCTTGCTGTCTAAAACCACGGCTTCAGCGTGAGCTTCAGTGACGTCTTTCCCCAGCTACCCTTGCCGTGACCCTAGAAGTTACACTGCAAGCTGTAGACCTGAGATTAAAACCCCAAGTCCTATCAGATGGCAGCTGTGACATCTGGAAAACAGGAGGTAATACAATTTCAGGGGAACGATTGGTCCCCAGTGAGATGTTTGATGCCCCGTTTCTGGTCTGCTGCCCCTTGCTGTCGCTGAAGTGGTTGACGCCTCCTGGGTGCTCAGTGTTTACCTGCTAAATGTAAGAAACGCCTCCTCAAACCAATCATAAACTACGCGAAGTCAGAATTCCTGCACTAGGTTACAAATGAAAAGGGCCTCACCAGCCAAAGGTTTCTTTGAAATGTGTGTTAATACTGCTCCACTGAAACACACTGACCTGGCATGCAGTGCTCTGCCTGGTTGGTGGATCTACAAATGGAGGACGGGACAGGCAGGGTAGTGCCCCACAAGGCCATCACTAAGAGGGGATTTCATCTGCTTTCTCCCAAAAAGCTGGCAGGCACCCAACCCGCTCTACCCTATGTGCCTCTCTTGAGCCAAACCTGGCGGACAGGGGTGTTTTTCCATCTGTAAGGAAATGATCAACTCTTCACTCTTTTTTTTTTTTTTAAGTCTTTTTCCTTTTTATCGGTACCTGGGATCGAACTCACAACTGCCTGCTTGCAAGGCAGGCGCGCTTATGCCGCTGAGCTAAATCCCCAGCCTGAAATGATCAACTCTTACGTACAACTTGTCCTGCTTTCAGCTGCGTTTCGGATGACTCAGTGAAGCAGTACTCATCCCGGGATCACCTAGCAAAGCACTTCCAGGTTCCTGTCTTCAAGTTTGTGGGCAAAGATCACAAGGTAAGCTGAACACCTTTACCACCTAACCCCAGACCTGAGCCTCCCTTGTTTGGTCAGTTGACCTAGTGAGAGCCCAGGGTTAGGATCCATGTGACCCCCTGGGAATCATACAGTTAAGTTGGCCATTGAGAAGCTTAACGCCTCCCTGCGTGTCACAATCCCCACCCCATCCCACAAAGTAACTGCTTGTTCAAGAGAACACTGTTGGATCATAAGTTAGAGCATAAATGGTCATGCATGGACGAAAAAGCCAATGCGTGGTCAGTTACACAGTAACAGACATGCACAGGAGACTCACAGAAAAGACAAATCGGGAAATGGGAAGTGAAAATAGTACTTTAAATGCCAATTATAGGGCACCACTTTATACACAGTAAACATAAAAATTCTAAATGGTAATATAAGGCTATAAGTATACAGTGGTGGTATAAACTGGTACGTTTTCTGGAAAGTTATCAACCATATGCATTAATACCCACTAAACCATCATATTTTCTTATCTAAAAATTTCAATCTTGGCAGTTTCTCAAAAACAAAAGTTTGTTGATCATGTTCACAGAACATTGTTTTAAGGGAGAAAAAAACACCCAATCAAACAGAGCTAAAGGGCCATCATATATCAATTGAATGCAATGGTAAGCAGTTATTAAAGTGATAAGTGTGTGGAAAGCAGACTGTAAAAATGTTGTCTGAACATCATCTCCGTTATGCTACATTAAAAAACCCATATATTTACATGGAAGTGCCTGTTGTTGTTGGCACTGCCAAAACATGTAAACTAAAGGAGATTTCCGAGGCCAGCGTGCTTCTCCCGCTGCCTTTAGCCGTGTCCGTGCCTCTCCAGCGGTAGGATCACTCCAGAGTAAACTGCTCGTGGTGACAGCAGATCCCACACTCCCTCCTCCACCAGGCAGTGGACGGTAAGTGATTCCTCACAGACCTTGATGTGAGAACAGAGATGTTAATGTTAGAGGCTGCTTCACAAAGGTCTCTTCTGTCCCAGCGCATGCAGAAGTCACGCATGTGGGCGACTCCACGTCCAGCTGTCCGCATTACTGATGTGTGGATCGGGCTGGTTCCTTCTTTGCCCTAAGTCTTAGTTTACTCCTCTGTAACCTGGGGATGGTAACGTCTATCCTGAGTGTTGCTGTTAGGGTTAAGCAAGAGAAAATCTGTGAAGCGTGTGGCAAGGTCCCTGGCTCCCACTGGTGCCCACAGTGGCAGCTGTCACAGCCGTCCTTGCTGAGCTCCTCACATCTTTTCAGGAGGTTTTTCTGCACTGCCGAGTTCTCGTCTGTGGAATGCTGGACACAAGATCCCGCTGCGCCCAGGGCTGTCACCAGCGAGTGCGACGTGCAGCAGGGGAAGGAGAGGACACCGCTGGCCTGCAGAGCCAGATACTGACAGGCGGCCCCATCAGCATCGACTGGGAACACTAATTCCCCACACACCGGAGTCTGTCCTTCCGGCTACTGTCCTCTCGGGAGCTCCTGCCACACCCCCAAGGATGTTAGAGGAACTCGTAGGACACCCAGCTTCTTTAGACCATGTACTGTGAGTTTAGACAAGCTCCCAGAGCCTCTCACCGCTTCTGGTCCACAGGTTGGTACAGGTCACGCTGTGCTAAGTGTGTGGTTCCGGCGGCCGTCAGCTTCCTAATGGAGAGAACTAAGCTGTCCACACAGAGGGACGCTTGCCCACCTCCTGCAGTATTTCCTACAATTAGACGCCTCATGTATGATGCAGTAAAATCAGAAGCTGGTTATAGTGTTTCAAGCTAGAAGCCAAGAAATAATACTTGCTAAAATTATGACCTAAATACTCAGTGAACCATAGATATGTAAATAATAATCATGCCTTAAAATTTCAATTCAAGCCAAATAGTCAGAGGGGACTTGGAAGTTGATTAGTAAAACAATACATAATAAGGAAATGCCCTTTGGTTTTGCTTTTGCATAATATTTTTTGATGTTTTTATTGCCATAGGTGAAATATTTTCACTTAATAAATATTAATAAGTTACTCAACATGCATTTAAGTGGTTTAATGACTAAAGTTAGCAAACTTAAAGTTTGATACTATATGCCTTCTAAATTGGAATTCAAATTGTAAGAAAATAGACAAAGGTATAAAATTATATCATACTTGTTGGTGCTTAATAAATTTTATTGAAATAAATTTCATAAGCCACAATGACAAATGTTATCTGCAGTAAAATCAACCTCCGTATGTGTGTGTGCGTGTGCGTGAGTGCATGTGTGGGTAATAGGGATCCAACCCAGGGGTCCTCTACCACTTAGCTACACCCCCAACCCTTGTGAAAATTTTATTTTTGAGACAGAGTCTCATTAATTTGCTCAAACTGGCCCTGATATTGCAATCCTGATGCCTCAGCCTCCTGGTAGCTAGGATTATAGGTATGGGCCGTCATACCTGGCTAAATTCAGTTTCTTGATATGCCAGTTAATAACATGCCTTTATATAAGATTAGAAAAAATTGGGGGCTGGGGGTTTAGCTCAGCAGCATAAGCGCCTGCCTTGCAAGCAGGCAGTTGTGAGTTTGATCCCTGGTACCGATAAAAAGGAAAAAGACCCCCCCCCAAAAAAAAATAGAAAAAATTCTTTTTTCTTTAAAAGTGTCTACAATGAATAATTCCTATTAGAACTGGTGAAATTAACAAAAGAAAGGAAAGGAGTTAATGATTTAGATTAGAGCTTAGCACCCTTTTTTCTCCAGGGACACACCAACTCACAACTGTTCAATTCTGCTGTTATAGCACAAAACAACTGTAGACAAATCCAGCAAGACTGTGAACATGTGAGCATGGCCGTAGTGTCAGAAGCTGTACAGAAACAGGCCTTCGACCGAATCTGGCCAGGAGACAGCTGGCCGATCCCTGATGTCAATGTACATTAGTGGCCCCGAGTCCCTCCTGGGCATCAGAATCACCTAAGGAAACACTCATAAAACACCAGCGCAGAGGCACAGCCTGAGTGTCCATCCATGCGTGGTCTATATGGTCCTCAGGTGATCTTAATCCATATTCATGATGAGAAACATAATTTAGGGAATGCCCATGCGTCTCTCACGCCCCTAAGGTTGCAGGTGTTTCCCTAGCCTTTGCCACGTGCATCTCAGATCTCAGCACCACTAAAACACCTCTGGAGACCTGGAACAAAACAGGGGGAAAGTGACCGCTCAGATCCCTGAGTCCACCCGCCTGCCCTTCATCTCTGCTCCCCCTCAGCAGGTGAGCCTCTGCCCACCCACCTGCTCTCCTCCCTTCTGCACCGGTGGGAATCACTGTCATTGGATATACAAAGCCCTTATAGACTTTGACGAAGTCCAGGAAGTTTATATTTGTAACCCCAGAGGAAAGTTATTGGAATTCCAATAAGTTAATTCCAAACTACCACTTCCAGTGCAGAAAGAGTAATCTGCATATCTCAGATTGGGGCACCATCCCGTGTTTTGGGATCTGTGTTTTGATGTATAGTCCATGCCCTGAGAGGTCACAGCCTCTTTTCTTGAGGCTCCTTCTTAGCTGACCGCAAAGCTTCACTGGGTCTAGCTCACACATGTTACTTGGAAGCTGTAGGCGGGGCATCGCTGACCTGTGATTGCTTTAAAGACTAAATATCAGCACCTTGCCTAGACCCATTTGCATTGTTGCTGAAAGCCAATTGAAGGGATAGACAAATAACCTAGCCAGCTCTGTACATACTCGGAGGCAGGGCCAAATATTCTTCTTTTAAGGAGGGCCATCCAGTTGGCCCTCCACAGTGAAACTTACCAGGCTGGGTTCTGTTCTCTTCTAAGTGAAATGGAAACACAGGTGATAATGGAATTCATTCATTTCTGTTCACATTTTCTAAAAAGTACTTTATTAAATGTGAGCTGCTCACTGGCAACTGAGGAAACCAGGCCAAAGGAAAGTCATTGCTTCCCAAAGGGTTGGGCTGCTGAAAATTTTGCTTATGAATATAATGATCAGTTTTAGGAATTGCAGGGTTTGCTTGCAGTGTGGTCTTTTTGCTAAGAACTGAATTTCCAGGTGAACGTGTCTTGGTCGGGAAGAACAGTGTTAGAGCGACGCTGGCTTCATCTCTCTGCATCTCTCAGCCTTCCTCAAAGGACCTGACGCACTGTTTGCTTCTCCTGCTTTGTGTCACCCGTACCGGCTGGAGAGAGGATTACACACATCCGCCGCTCCGGCTCTGAGACTGACAACTGCCGAGCCACCTCAGCCTCATAATTCTTCTTTCTCCTCTTCTGCACAGATACAAGCTGCCCGTTGACTGTTCATAAAGGGCCTGCAGCCCAAGGTCCATACGGTATTGAACACGGTGTCAGCCAGGGAATCACAGGCTACTTGAAAAAGACGGAGGAATACAAGTTAATGCAGAGGATTATCTCAAGTAGTGAAGAAGCAGCATATTTTCCAGGATGATAACGCTACCCAGAGTCAGTCATCTGATACAGAATCACATTTAAGAGACGCTTTTTAGACAAGCTCCCATTCAATTCAGGGAAGTGGAATTCTCTGAGTGCCTATTCTTTTGTGGGACATCTGATCACGATAGTAGTTAGTTATCAGAATCTCCTTAGCGTGCTCACCATTTTAGAGTGCTCCCTCAGGTAACACTGCTATTTCCTCTAGCTTTCCTTGCTCAAAATGGGATGCACAATTGTTTATCTTCGGGGAAACACTGTTGGGGACCACTATCCAACAGCTCTGAGCAGGATTTAAAGTTTACTAATTGGCTTTCTATGTTTATCTGTGAGTCTGTCCTAGGCCTTGGTCCTCTTGCCTGGCGATGGGAGCTGATTCACAGTAAGTGAACCTCTATGAATCGTTGGTCCTGGCTGAGGCCTGTAGTGGCCTGTGAGGCCAGAGATACCTCAAAGGGCAAGATAAGGCCACAGCCGAAGACACCTTGGCTCCATCACTAATGAAGTTTACTGCTGCAGGCATCACACTCCTGCAGTCTCAATCCTACCATAAATGTTATCTTGGAGATAAGACTGTTCTCCTAAAGTGGCTTAACCTACTACTTGGGGAAGTCTTTGAAGTGACTCCCCAGGCGCTGCTCATTTCCTGTGCTTCCTCAGTTTCCCCACCTTTTGTCTTAGTCCTAATAAAAATGGGCTGGTCCAGAGAACACTGTCTTAGCCCTCGGAGTCTCGAGCTCACCTAAAGGGTTTTGACCCTCCTGGCACCCTAAAAATCATACAATTTGTCTCTTTTTATTTAACCTTCACCATACACTCATTTGGAAACTCAGGGATCTAGGTCAGGACCTGATAACACACATGTTTGTGTTGGATATGTCGGTCAGCCACTCTCCTAGGTGTCAGTGATAAGACAAAAGGTATCATCCGGACTCTAGAGCTTCACTTTTGGACCAAGAAGGAGCCAGGGTGGTGAGGTCAACAGTCAGTTATACTAAACCACAATGACCATGTGCCCAACGTGGTATGGAAGCCCACAGGAAGGGTCCTTCTCCCTTAGGGGTAAGGGTTATTAATTAGGGAAGGCATATTAAAGAAACTACAGTGTTTTATGTCGAAACTTTAAGAATAATCAGGAAAATGAAGGACTGAGACAGGCTACTTGAAATTTTGAAAACATTATGCCAAATAAGCTACTCTAAAAAGGTTAATTTCAATAAGTTTGGCTTATAGAAAAGATGTTTAAAAGCTGACAAGCTTTTAGCCAGACTAAAACTAAGAGAGGACTCAAGTTGCTAAACTCAGAAATAAATGACAGACATCGCTGCTTATCTTAAAGAAATACAAAGGACAGTAAGGGAAGGCCAAAAAATAGAAAAAACTTCTTTGTCTTTTTGAGATGGGATCTCGCTATGTAGTTCAGGTCTCAAACTTACAGCAGTCCTCCTGCCTCAGCCTACTAAATATTAGGATTACAAGAAAAATACATAATTTAAGGGAAATGGGAAAATTTCTAGAAGACATAAACTGCTAAAGAAGAAATAGAAAGTGTAAATAGATAGCTAGTGTATATAAATACAATAATTAACTCAAACTTTTAAATTAGGAATTTAAAAATCCCCCAAACAAACCCAATCCCACACAACTTCACTGAGGAATTTTACCAGACATTAAAAAAGAATTGACACCAAGGAAGAAAGAAAGAACACCAATCTTTGTGAAATTCACCCAAAACGTAGAAATCTACTGCCAACTCATTATTGTTCTGATACCAAAACCAGATCAAGATGTCACAATAATAACAATCCTTAGACCAGTGTCTCTTATGAATACAGATACAAAATCTTTAACAAAATACTAGTAAGCTGAATCTGGTAACATAGAAAAAAAATATGCCATGACAAGGTAAGGATTGTTTTAAGAATATAAGTTTGGTTTAACATACTAAAATCAATTAATAGAATTACAATTAATAGAACAAAGAACAAATACCACATGATACAGAAAAACATTTGACAATCACTGAACCCTTTCTTATGAACAAATCACTCAAAAAACTAGGAAAAGGAAAGAACTTCTACAACCTGATAGAGCCACAACTGACAATCATGCTTAATACTTAAAGGATCAAAAATACAGAACTCTTGGAATTCAATAATAAAAAGAATTTATCAAGGGATGCGGATTTGATAGACAGTTTCCCCAAGCATTGCACAATGGCCAATAGGAATATGCTCCACATCACTAGTCGCCAGAGAGCTGCAACACAAAACCACAGTGAACTACTCCTTCACATACAGATCAAAAGACAGACGTTAATCAGTGTTAGTGAGGGCGTGAAGAAATTGGGGCTCTCATACATTATTGGTGGGAATGTAAACTGGCATGGCTATTTGGGAAAACAGTTTGTCAACCCTTCAAACAATTAAACCGAGTATTACCATGTAACCCAGGAGTTTCTTTCCTAGATATATATCCAAGAGAAGTGAAAACAGAGCTTCCCAGATAAACATGTCCATAAATGTTCGTGGCAGCAGTATTAGTAACCAAAAGATAGAAACAACCCCAGTATCCATCAGCTGATGACTAAAGAGTCATCAGTGTTCAAGCTGAACACTGGAATGCTACTCGGCAATACAAAGGAATGAAAATCTGACACATCCTACAACAAGGATAGATGTTACTAAATAACAGAAGTTACTCACAGAAGACCACATATCATATGTGTGTGTAAAAGACCACAGATTGTCTGTGGGAAATGTCCAGTGTGGGCAGATCCACGGAGCTGAGCAGGAGTCTAGGGAGGGCTGCTATCTGGCTGGGGATCCTTTTTGAACTTCTAAAACTGATTGTGGGGTTGACTGCAAAACTTTGAACATATTTAACAAGAATTTAAATGGGTGGATTATATCGTATATGAATCACAAAAATAAATAATAATAAAGTTGTTTTACCAATACCGACGTGAGCAATCAGTACATTCCCAGCAGGGGGCACTGAAGGGACAGAAAGGTTTGGGCTGTTGAGCTCAGTGGTGTGTGGTGCAGGGCTCAGGAGAGAAATCTGGACTCTCTTCGATGATGCTGGCAGGGGCAGGCTAGGCCTGCACCAGGAAGGGAATGCACATTGTTTTTAATCTTTAAAAACTACAGACCATCAGATCCACGAAGCATAAAAATAGTGGATGGGGCATAGAGATGGGGCTAATTTCCATAACCAAGCAAGTGGAATATCAAGGAGAGATATTGGGGGAGAGAGAAAAATCTATAGGATTTTTGGGGAGAAAAAAATCTATAGGAAGGACATTGCTTGGAGGCAGTAACTTGACCTGACCCTAGGTTAGCAGCAGGCTGCTTTTTACCCTTCGCAGATAGATAGAATGAGTCTGTCCTTTCAGAGCCAAATCAATTATTCATATTTCCAAGTCCTTACACATTCACTTTAGGACTAACTCTAGACATTGATCTATGAACCAGCCTCAAGATCCTGTGACTGCTGGCACTGACTGTGTGTGACAGAGGGCCAGCCCTTTATAAGCCTGAATTCCACCCCTCTAAAAATATAAAATGCTAATACTTGATGCAATGCCCTGGTTTCGGAAGCTGCGAGATTAAAACCTTTCCTAAGTAAACTAGGAAAAAGAAATTACAGAGTCAGGGTGGAAACTGAATAGCTAAGCGGTATTTAAAAGTAATTATTCTGAAGCACATGGAAAGCTTTCCACAAAGATGTTTTTTAAAATTCCTACCCTGACTAACAACATAATGTGAAAAAAGGGAGCTCAGGCCAAAACCAGTGGGTCTCTGCAGGGTAACTACTGATATGGAAAATTATTTAACAATGGAATGAGTAACTCAGGCCAGCTGGGAGAATCTTGCTCCAGTCCTATAGGAGATTTTTATTTCTCTGGGAAGGCCTGGTGCGATCCCTTCCACCGGGAGCAGGGCCAGCAGCCCATGGGCAGGACAGCAAGAACTTTCCTGAAGGAGTGGCCATCCTGCCCCGTCACTGCATTCCAGAGAGCAGCTCCCTGCGCTCTGACCATCTCTTTGAGCACAGGACTCTGGCCACCTCTCTGTGGAAACACAGCCCAGCTCCCTGCGCCCAGTAAGTGTCCTTAGGAGACCTACCTTCCACGTTGGAGACGAAGCCCAGGCTCCGCTTAAGGTCGGAGCAGATGGAGTGGAGGCACCATCGGAATTTGGCGTCACAGCGATACTTGTTGGCGCCACACGTGTCATAGCAGACGTCTAGCTGGTTGCAGCACTTGGTCATTGCAGGAATGCCCAAGTCCATCTGCAAAAGGGAAGGAGGAAAATGCCACGTTTAGACTAAGGATGACCTCAGGCAGCTATGCCCACCTTGGCGTGAGCTAGCCTGTCCTCAAATGACTGTTACCTGTTCATTTCAGTTCAGAAATGCCGATGGTTTGGTAAGATAAAGTGAGTCGCAGCACAGGAGTTCTTACTGTTGTTTAGCTATCAGTTTAGTAGATTACTAGTTTTGCAACAGTAATGGAAAGTAGAGACTAGGAGAGGTCAAGAGGATAGTACTGCAGGACTACAGACTCAGTTAAAATTTAGGTTAATATTTCCACTTAGATTTTGTTTGATAAAACCATTTCAGGGGCAAAAGACATTAAAAAAAAAAACTCAGCTTCAGTTGAGCAAGAGATCACTGGAAAATCTCAGGGACACATCCCATCACACAGCACCACTTGAAAGGTGTCTCTTTGTATGCAGGAGGCAGAAAGGGGTGCAGAACAAAGGGGACCATGGCCAAATCACACCACACACACACACACACACACACACATAATGCCTGTGCACACGTCTGCTAAGTGTCCTATGAACAACTGTAAATTCTGTGGCCAAAAAAATCCGAGTCACTAAGATAATAGAATGCCGCATGCCAACTTCTGAGATGGGACTTTTAAAGAGGCCTTTGAAAGAAGACTAATAGAGGATTATGAGAGGTGAAGACAGGATACAGCAGACGGAGAAAGGAAATGAGCAGACAATGTGAGCAAGTTTGTTTAGTGTTTCAAATGTTTTAGGAGAAGATAAAATGCCTATGGAAGTGTGCCCACCTGTGTGAATACATAACAAGGTTTGAGATGGGGTGTAGCTCAGTGGTGGAGCAATTTCTGGGCATGCGTGGGATCCTGGGCTGGATCCCCAGCACTGCAAAGCAAAATAAAACTTTTTTAATTAGGTAAAAAGGCAAGATGATGGCCTTGACCTACAAATAAGTAGTTAGATTTGATAGGCATCTGGAGCAAAGTGGAGAGGTGATAAGAGCTGGGATCAGAGCAGAGTAATCACTGTGTGCTCTACAAAATAGACTGGAGCAGGGGGTGTGTAAGTTTGGACAGAGCAGCTTAGGGTTCTCTGCAGCTTGTATGACAATGTAGACTTGGACTTAGGTAGCTGTGTGCATCTGGCTTCATGGTATAGGAAGGAGTAGTTATAGATCCTGTCTACCTGGGGATCTTTAAGCAGAATGAGGACTCTGGTAGTTTAAAATGCCCCTTCAAGAAAAGAATATATATATATATATATATATATATATATATATATATATAATGCAATATATAAAAATTTTTTAGATTATATATATTGCATTTTTGTATTATATATATATTATATATATATATATATATATATATTATTAAGGAATAATAATCTATTCTCACTCATTAGATGAGGCACAGGCCTGGGTGTTATAATTGAGGATAAATGCCTGCTTGCCCATTATCTGAGACCGAAATAGACAATCTTGGCTGTCTCCAAAACTAAAACATAAACCACAACAGAAACAACTGTGAATTACATAGGTATGCTGATCATTCAGTTTGGTTCTAGAAATCTGTGAACTAGTCCTTAATAATAGAATACATATTGCTTCCATAGCTATTAAATCAACTGCCAAAATGCATGGTTTCTCTAATATAATACCTATTTGGAAGGATTTCTTCCCTTGGTATCAGTACAGTTATTAGTGGTTGTGCTGGGCTGGGTATCCAGGTGGTGCAAAACACAAGGTGCCATATCAAAGGTGGCCCTTTCCTCCAAGACATTCTAGATATATATATATATTTACTAAGAAAAGTACCAAGACAAGGGCGGTCGGGTTTTTTCCTAACATAATTAGTATGTTAAGATGCATTTTTAACAGATGGAAGAAAATTGTCTTGAGAAAAAAGGATCATTTTCTAATTTGCATGAAAATGCTATATGGGTGAGGGACATTTTAGTTAGACGGATACACATTATGCTGCTTAGATAATTATTGCAAAGTAAAATCTTTGCATCATCAGAAAAATGAAGTTTAGTCTTATTAAGAAACAATTTAGGTTCATAGTTTACATATCAAACCCCTCCAGCTACATTTTATGTGAAATCTCTTTTCTAAAATGAAGAAAGCCAAAGGGCTTCCAAGGAGCCTGAAAGGAAATTAATTTTTTTTTTTTTGTCTTTTTCGTTTTTATCGGTACCAGGGATTGAACTCACGACTGCCTGCTTGCAAGGCAGGCGCTTATGCCGCTGAGCTAAATCCCCAGCCCCAAAAGGAAATTAATTTGTCACTCATTTTAGAAGAGTTTGGTCAGTAATGTGCTAGTAAACATTTGACCAACAGCTGTGGGTACAGTTGCAGACTTCTATGGTGTCTGCGCTCCAGCACAGCTGATGTGACCATCAGTGTAAAGCCAGAAGTTTGCAGAAGTCAGACCAACACAGTAACAGCTCTCACTGCCCAGTGCCAGCCAACCCCATCCCATCATTAATTTCTTTTAATGAATCAACTCATCAGATCTATTTTAAGTTACATTTGGATATCCTAAGTCTGGGGCTCGTAATTGTGATTTCAGAATTGTAATTCTGATCCATTTATCTTAGGGATAGCTGCCTCCGAGAAAGGAAATCAGATAGCATCTTTGAAAATGTTCTCACTTCCCACAGATTCAATTTAAGCTACCTAATTACTTTGCTCAGTTAGATCCCACAGACGTTTGCTTATATCCATGATAACTCAGAATATGCCAAGAATTTATACTAGACACAATCAAGCAAGAATGTGATGCAGGCAGTACATACACTCTCTGGTACCTTGAGACCCAGGAAATAGGAGCCGCAGCCATTGGGCTCCTGAGGTTTGTAGCCAGGTCTGGGCACTGGTGCCTTTCCTAGCAGGAGAAAAAGAGGGAAGAAATAGTTAGAAATCAGGTATTTGGGAACATTCATCAAATAAAAATTTTCCAAAAGCATATTCCATTTTTCTTTCGAAAACTATTGTTTCACACCTCAAACACATCTGGCATTTTCTCCTAATCGCAAAGAATTTTATGAATACTTAGTAATAGTTCTTTTTTTTCTTTTTCTTTTTTTTTTTTTTTTTTTGGTCTTTTTCATTTTTGTTAGTACCAGGGATTTAACTCACGACTGCCTGCTTGCAAGGCAGGCGCTTATGCCGCTGAGCTAAATCCCCAGCCCCCTTTAGTAACAGTTCTAATGCTTCTCTAATACATAACCTTGAAGATAAAGGCTACGGCCAAACCAACCTAAACCTCATGTTCTTTTAATTTCTCCAGCTACTGTAAGGCCACACACTGCACATGGAACAAAACACCTGGTAATGCCCTTGCAAAATAGTACCTGTAAAGCGTTTAAGACTAACTTGAAGGGAGTTTAGCAAGATTCTCCAAATGCAGACAAAATATTTTGACGCAAGAGCAAAGAAAACACCCCAAATACAATGCATTTGTATCACTGAATTAAGTAAAGAGTCTTAAAGTTCTGGCTTTCTTGATTTCTCCTAATCACTTTTGTGTTAATTTATCATTCTGAAAATATGTGGAAAGAAGCTTTATCAGTGTGTCCGTGGTAGTCATCACAAGTAAAGATAACCTTGACCTGAAATGACCTTAGGGGAATCCTCTGCTTTGGATATTTTATCCCTTTATTCAGATAAGAAAAACAGGGACTAAGAAGTCGCATAATTTGCCTAACATCATAGAGTAAGCAGATTTCTCCGGTGTCTCCAGACTGTCACTACATCTCTGCTCTTCTTAGGAGATGCGAGACAAACCACAAGCACAAACAAATAGCCTAAGAATTAATCTTCAGAGTGAGGCAAATGGCAGGTTGTTTCCTTTCCTTTCCTTTTCTTTCTTTCTCTCTCTCTCTCCTTTCCTTCCTTCCTTTTCCTTCCCCCAGGTATTTTAAATTATTTTATATTATGAAATGTCTCAAGACTGAAGAAAAGTAAGAGAAATAAACACCTATGGACTCGTGTATTATAAGTATAATAAATGATAACTCTTGTAATCCATAAACAAACACTTTACACCCCCAACCTCGAGTCCAAAAAATGGGACAAGACATGTTTTTAAAAAGCAGCACTGATTTATTTTATCCTGAGCCCAGCGACACAGTGCAGTTGGAATTTGCAAAAGCTGTGTGTCTCCCTCTAAACTTTCCGGACTTTTTGTAGAAAGCACAGTTTACAAAGTAAGGGGTGATGGGCGTGATCAGGAAATCTGCTAAGAACTGAGGAAGACCTTAGTTTCCCTTTGCAGAGGACAGAGAAGTCTAACAGGAATTAACAATCCTTTGTCAACTTATTTTAGCACTCAATTTTAGATAACATCTGTTGCTTGTGGAGGGCAGCAATGGTTAACATATCAATTTGGTCAGGTTCCCAGGAATTTACAATTCTTTACAGAGGGGAGCATTGATTAACATATCAATTAGGTCATCCAGAAAGAATGACACATACAGAACAGTATGGGGGCATTACAGGTACTTTGGTCATATAATTTAGGCATAACACAAACATAACGAAGCTCTTTTTGCTAGTGTACAGCAATAACATTTACCAAGCTTGCTGTAAATATTTTTCTATCTAATTAAATATTACAGTTCAGGTGCAGTTGAAGCCCTTTTATAACATGTCATTCCATTTTCAGTTTTAGATTCTAAATCTATACTTTAGGGGCTGGGGATTTAGCTCAGCGGCACTGCCTTGCAAGCAGGTGGTCGTGAGTTCAATCCCTGGTACCGATAAAAATGAAAAAGACAAAAAATAAATAAATAAATAAATCTATACTTTAAAGGCCTTCCTCCTTATAGTTCCTCAAAATTTTCTGTTTTATTTTTGGACATCTACTCTTGCATATGAATTTTATTGTCAACTTACCAAATTCTGCCATATTGTCAGGATTTTGCACGACAATCCATTGAATTTAGAATTTCTAGACAGCTACCTGTTTAGGATACTCAGTATTCCCAATCATGGGCATAGTACTTGCTTGCCGTTTACTTAGTTCTTTCTAGAGCTTCAAAGGAGTGTTGTAATTTGGGGGAGGGGAGTCCTGGGACTCTAACGCATGATCTTGCACTTGCCAGGCAGGCACTTTTATCACTGAGCTGAATCCCCAGCCCCAAAGGAGTGTTGTAATTTCCCCCATATTGTCTTTCACATGTCTTGTATGCCTATCTTATTCAGATCCTTAAACACAATAGCACCTCTCACCTAGAATGGTTATAGGCAAGTACAGAAAAGCTGCACTTATCTGGAACCCAGGCTACATCTAGATTTTTGCGCTACCAGCCCTCACTGTAGCCCCTGGTTTTTATGGTCCAAAATGACACCTGGGCCAACGCATCTATGTTACCGGCAGAGGGACGGAGCAATGAGAAGGGTCCATCCTTCCTTTCTTTTAACAAACACACCAAGTGTGACTCACATCACCTCCTCTTAGTTCCCTTTGACCAGACTTTACTCAAACAGCTGAGCTAGGAAATGAAGACTTTACTCAAAGTAAGCATCCAGGACCCCAGTTGAAAATGAGAGGAGGTACTCATTCCTGTAGAAAAGGAAAGAAAGGCTTGGCAGAAAATGAGTGGTTCCCACCAGTGCTGGATATTGGTTACTGTGTTACATGAGGTGTAAGATTTTGGCCCAAAATGGCTCCAGTGATCCCCATGTCCTAGTATGGATGCATGTATCTATCAGTGCTTCATTTCTTTTTATCACTAGGACTGCCATTTATTGTCTCAAGACTAGTCTTCATAACCAAGAAAATATGGCAGAAGTAAAGTTGGGTAGATTCAAAGATTCAATTATAAAAGACTGTGATACTATGTTCTCTCTCTCTCCCTTCTCTCCTCTCCCCTCTCCCCGCCTCTTCTTCAGGAAGGACCATGGCAAAGAACCAAAGCCTCCTGCCAAGGAGCTCCTCTTACAGCCCCTTTCATCTCCAGTGGCAGCTGTGACTGTGACCTTGGCAGCAGCTTGGAGGTGGAGCCGCCCACCAAAGCCACCGAGTATTCCTGACCCTCAAAAACTGTGTGATACAACATTTACTATGTTAAGCCTCTAAGTTGTGGGGTAACTTGTGCCTTGATGATACATAACAAATGCAATGGCCATTATGATATTGATCTTTTCATTCTGTAACTTCCTATGACAGTTTTATTGATATATAATTCACATAGCATCCATTCGCCCATTCAATGTGACTGATTGAATGATTTTATTATATTCATAGAGTTCTGCAGCCATCATCACAAAGCTATTAGAACATTTTTATGCTCTCAAAAAGAAACTCCACAGCCATGATAAATCACACTTTGTCTCTCCCACCTCTGCCCCTAAGCAATCATTAAATATACCATCTCTATAAATATTTGGCCACCTCACAAATCAAACCATACAATACAGACCTTTGTGTGCCTTGCGTCTTTCCCTTAGTATGATGTATTTTGGGTTCTTGCATGCAGTAGCGCACCCTGGTATGTCTTATCTTTTTATCACCAGGAAGAATTCCACGTATGGATAGACTACATTTTGTCTATCCAGTACTAGTTGATGGACATTTGAACTGCTTTTCACTTTTCCTGTTATACAGCACTTACTACTACAAGTATGTGTACACACAAATATATGCAAATGTGTGGACATACACTTCTCCAAAGGAGGGGGATTCCTGGGCCATATGGAGACTCTGCTTAAGGGTTTCAGTAACTGTTTTCCCGAGTGGCTGAGTCATCTTACATTCCCACCAGCAATATGTAAGGGCTTCATTTCTCCACGTCCTCACTAATACTTATTTTCTGTCTTTTTGATTCACAGCCAATCTAGGGGTGTGAAATATGTTTCACGGCAGTTTTGGTTTGCATCTTTTTAATGATTGATCATGTTGAGCAGCTTTTCCCCGGGCCTGTCGGCCATTTGGGAATGTCTTCTTTGGGAATTCAAATCCTCTAACCAATCTGTAACTGAGTTTTCTTTTGAGTATTTGGTTATAAGGGGTTTTTATATATAAAAAGAGTTTTTATATATATTAGAAACAAGTGCTTGTCAGATACGTGATTTGCAAATATTCTCTCCTTTTCCATGGATTTTTTTCATGTTTATTTTCTTTTTTCATTGAGATGAATTTTTTAAAAAATCACCTTCAAGTATACAGTTCAGTGCATTCATGATGTGATGCAACCCGCCCCCATCTGGCTCCAAATCATCCCCCGACTCCCAAAGGAGACCCTGCACCCAGGAAGTAGTCATTCCCTGCCTCAATCAGTTTGGGCTGCTATAGTAAAAATACCATGAACCAGGTCACCTAAACAATGAAAATTCTTTCCTTGAAGTTCTGGAGGCTGGAAACTTTAAGATCAGAATTCCCAGCAGGTTCAGCGTCTGGCGAGGCCCTCTCCTGTTTGCAAATGGCTGCTGCCCTCTGTTGTGTCCTAATGCCTTAGTGGAAGCTGAATCTCCTCTTCCTTGTTTTGAATCTCCTTCAAAGGTTGTGTGATTGCCTTCTTTCACTTAGCACAGTGTTCTCAGAGTTCATCCGTGCTGTACTGTCCATAGAGCTGAATAACTCTGGGATATACCAGTCTGCGTGTTCTTCCATCCATTAATGAATATCTGGGTTGTTTCTACCTTTTGGCTATTGTGAGTAGTACTGCAATGAAAAACTGTGCAAGCTTTGCATCAGTATCTATTTTCAGTGTTTTGGAGGCACTTAAAGATAGACTTGTTGAGACATAATGTAACCCTGTGCATACTTTTTGAAGATCTACCAAACTGCTTTCCACAGCCACTGCACCATTTCCTTCCCACCAGCTGTGCACAGCAGTCCGACCCTCTCCTCCTCCTGCTTCACTACAGTGAACTGAGACA